TCTGCAAAGAGTGGAGTGAAATTAAATGGTCCTATATCAGTCATAAGATCACCAACAGTGAGGGTTGGAAGTGACTCAAAAATTAATCATCCTTCCTCTCTTTCAATAATACAAAAACCTTAGTCCAGGGAGGTTTAGTTATTGGTCTAAGGACACATAGCCAGGAAAAACCATCCTGAGGACTTCTACTCCGGCATCGTGATTTCTCAGCACAGAATTCTTTTTTTTTTTTTTTGGTACCGGGGATCGAACTCGGGTCCTTGCGCTTGCACAGCAGGTGGCGAAACCACTGAGCCAAATCCCTGGCTCCACAGAATTCTTTTTATTACCCCAGCTGCCTTCTGGGTTTCATCACTCAACCTGAGTCATACGTACTGACCAAATCACAACATTCTAGAACTTCAAGTTTTGCGCTTTTTACATCATATTCTTTTTTTTTTTTCTGGTACTGGGGATTGAACTCAGACCTTGCACTTACCAGGCAGGCACAGTGCCACAGAGCTAAATCCCCAGCCTGTTTTGTGCTTTTTAAGGGACAAGAACAAGTAGATATCAAATTATTATCTTAAAATTATTACTAAATGACTAAAAATGGCATATCACCTCTCCTATCTTGACCAAAAACAATTTTAAAATACGAGGTGGTAGTATTTCACAGAAGTCCAATGTTTCATGCAGTCCTTGATGTACTTAGCAGAAAGCTTTGCTCTATACCAAGAGTACTCACACCTGCAGAAAGATGGCTCCCTAGTAAGTCATATTTAATTTCTTTCATATACATTGTTTGATCCTAAGATCCTAACTGATAATCCAAAGAAAACATTCTCAGTTGTAATTTTAGACTATCCAAAGAAATGTAAGCCAAATTAAAGCAGAGAAAAGGGAAATTTCATCATAGACATATGATTTTATGCATAGGAAAACAAAGATTCCTGCTCTGCTATGGTCTAATGGTGTGGCAAAAATGATCTTTAAATGAACTGAATCATCACAGTGCTAGTCATTTATTTTAAAACTATAGCAAGACTGTGGCTTAGGAAATCATATGATTTAGAAGTTTTAGAGTTTTCCAATTGGGGTTATATTTAGAGAATTTCTAATTTTGATTTGCCTGTCATGCCTTTAGAGTGTGCTGACTCATAAAAGCACATGTGACTTGTCAACCAGGGGGATATTTCAAGGGACACATGCAGGGCAGTGCTGTTAACGCCGTTGAGACAAAAGGGTGAGGAGGGAGAAACAGACTACAGTGGAGAGGCCACCACTGAGCTGGGAGGACTAACTGTGAGGGGAACATTCGAGAATCACGCCACTTCCCTGGGTAGCATGAACCTCGTCTCTTTCCAACACGGATCTGCAGCAGCTACTGATGAAGAACAGATCCAAGCAAGTAGAAAGAGGGCATAACAATTCAGGACTGGGATAAAAAGGAAATCCACACACTCTTGGTTTAATTCTGTCCCCAAACCAGGCTGGGTGCCCCATGAAGTTTCATAGTCTATGCCTGAGCTAGGAGACCACCATGTCCTAGAGGGGCAGCTTGAAGTGGACTAAAAGCCTTCACAAAGTGTGTGGCAGTGGTGATGCCTCAGAGCCAGAAGCAGATACTACAGTCACCTTTATTCTAAGCTGCTGGCTTAGATGTTCAGTACACCCCGAGTGTGTTTAAATGCGGAACATACACTTTGAAATAAATGAATTATATTGCCAGTAGATGCTAACTGTGAAACTGATTTCATTTCAATGTTACTAAACATCGCTCTACCAAGCAAGAAAAGGCAGTGAGCGAAATATGAGATAACACTGCCTCTGATGAGTGGGACTTAGAAGTAAGCAAACCAGTTGAAAATGACTCCTGCTTCTGAGACAGCAACCTCTGGGGAGCAGGCTGGTCAGAAGCAGACTGGCTCTTCTGATGACAAAAAGCAGAGAAAATAACTATCAACGAGCCCACCGATGGTTGGTGCACAACTTTTGTCCAGTCTGGAATGCCCTGAGAGCCAAAAGGCTTCCCTGCTTTCTGCTAACCAGGCATCTAGCAGAGCCTGCCCCAAGTCCACAAGGGGCTCCCACTCCCGAAGCAGCACTTAGGAACACAGACAGATGCTGCTTTATGCCTTGTTCAATGCCCCCAATCAATCGGCTCTGTGTGAAGAGCCAGGACACTCCAGGTGCTTAAATCAGCCTGGTGAGGACAGGGTCAGGGAGAGGTTAGGGAGGGAAAGTGAGGACAGAAGCCCAGAAGTCAGAATTTGAATTTTGGCAGGGGAGGCAACAGAGATGCAGCCAGAAGTGCTGGTGTTGTTAAGGTTTAGATCGGAACAAGCCCCTCCCTGACCTTGGGTGTCCAGAGGGCTCTGGAAGGTGACCGGGCCACGGGGGACTTTACTCATTCACCGCTCCCTCTGGTTCCCAGATAGTTAATTCTCCTTGGCTGGTTCTGCAAACAGTCTTCCGGGTTCTCTCTGGCTCCTCTACATCTCCCCCATCTCCCCATCCCTGCAACCAATTAATCAATCTAGAACCAGAGTGGCAGTGATTATTCAGGACTCAGGCCAGAAGGTCTAAGTTCTGAGATATGGAAAGTAGCCATGTAGCAGTCTTTCCATCAGTTCTGACTTCTTCTTGGGTTTGGAGAAAGGCCACACTAGAAAATTTACCCTGAAAATTGAAATGCTTCACAAGAGCTATTTCCTTGGCTCCGATATAACAGAGGGGTCTGAATACTTATTGTTATATATGCTGTCAGATGTGTAAGTTAAATCTAACAAAGTTCATTTCATAGTAACTTTAATTTCTCATTTCTTAAATTAGAGCAGCCAGATTATATCATTATTCTACTTTTTCCATTTGTACAGGGACTGCATGCAACAAAATCTCTCCTTCCAAAGTCTCTATTAAGAAAGCCCCTACCCCTTATTAATGTGGATTGAACCCAGGGCCTTCACACTGAGCTACCTACCAGCCTTTATTTTTTTTTTTAAATTTTGAAATAGCATCTTGTTATAAATAGCTATGTTGCTAAATTACCAGGGAAGGCTCATGATCCCCCTGCCTCAGCCTCCTTGAGAGCTTGGATTACAGGTGGGCACCACCACACCTGGCTCAAGAAAGCATTAAGTGAAATAACCTGAACACCACTTGACTTTTTGTATTCTTGTTCTGTCAAGTATCTTTCCAAAAGATCTCTGGGTTGTAATTTTATCCCTGGGGAGATGGATCTCCAGGAACCTTGTGGACAGATATGACCTGGAATTTACCTGAACAGCCCCAATTTCAACTGAAAAGAACCATGTGTTTGTCCTTCTTCAGCCTCAAGCAGTGGGCAGAAATCACACTTCACTGCTGTGGGCAAGGCCTTAAGAATACCCTCCCACGGGTGTGCATCAAGGGTACCTAGGATGGAGCCAAAAGCATTCACAAAGAAGGCAGAACAGTGTGTGTGTGTGTGTGTGTGTGTGTGTGTGTGTGTGTGGTCACTGGAGCTGCAAAAGCAGAACATCAGAGCAGGAGAAAATGGTCTTAGCAGCAAGCTTTGCTCTATGCCAAGGATACTTACACCTGCAGAAAGATGACTCCCTAATACGCACATGGAGAATGGAGCTAAAGGCTATTGTTGACAACCTTCTATGTTAGAAGGAAATTGCTGCAATTTGGATTTTAAATGTCCCCCAGAGGTCCACATGTGAAAGGTGTGGTTCCCCAGGCTGGCCACCTGGGAAGTGGTGGAGTATTTGAAAGGAGGGCCCAGAAAGAGATCTGTGGTCACTGGTGTGTACCCTGAAGAGAACTGGGGAACCTGCCCCTTCTGGCCTCTTTTTTCTCCCTGGCTTGTGATGTAGCTGGTTTTGCTTTCCCACATACTTCCAGTATGATGCACTGCTTTGCCGGGAGGCACAAAGTGAAGGGGCAAATCATTCATGGACTGCAGTCATCAAAGTGTGAGCCAAAAGAAACCTTTTCTCTCCATAAGTTCATCATCTCAAGTGTTTCATTACAGTGCCAGAGAGCTGACTCAGAGAGGAGTCAACAGAGCCCTAAGAGCGAAATGATTAACTTCAATAACTCAGCATAATTTGAAGTAATTTTGTAAAATTTCACTTCTACTGGCATCTCTACATTTTATATCCTGTTAGTTAAATTTTTTAAATGTTTTGAGAATTAGGCATCGTCTTTTAGCTTACACCCTTAGTAGAGATCTGATGACCCGAGGAATGTCAGTAAATTTCTGAAACAGACACATTTACTGTTTAAAGTTGCAGGAGGGTTATTTAAGAAAATTAAGTGAAAATTCAATGAACTGCACAGTACTTTCCCGTAAGGGCTCATTTAAGAGCCTAATTCAGCTTCAGAGTGAGGGTTTTTGTCACAGGCTCTGAATCAACCCAGCACACAGTGAACTGCTAAGAGCAGAGTTTGGAAGGCTCTCCAACAGCTTTCAGGAGTCCCTATTAAACAAGATACTTTGGTATCAAAATTAAAGAAATACAAACTATGGTACAGGAGAACATTTTGATTACTTGGAAATGAATTTATTGCCTCAAATGTGTTCATTATTAAATCAGAAAAGTAAATAGAGGAACCAAATATTCTCCTTAAGAGAAAGAACAAAAGAAACCAAATGACTGTTAATAAAAATATAAAAAAATGGAAATCATAATGCAATAATGGAAAGTATACCATGTGTAAATACATCCAACTATTTTGTTTTTTTAAAGATTAAAAACTCTTTGTAAGCCCAGTTAATGATAGAAGAGAGAGCAAGGAGAAAAATATATATTTATTTAGAATGAGAAAGAAGCAAAGTCAGAAATACAGGATAAATTTAAAGTACAGTAAGAAAATTTATCAAGCAAATCTGTAACATCAAATTTGATGATGACTTCTTAACAAAATTCAAATACTGCCCACAAAACCCATATAGTAGTCACTCAATTAATGCTGACTCCAGCCACAAGCAATGACAAAAAGACACTTCCTAAAGAGGCTTTTGTGCTTACCTCCATTGTAAAGCCTATGACTTTGAAACACTGCTCAATCAACTCATACTGGGCTTTATAAAATCTGTTATTCATCATATCCCGAACTGTTCTGAGGTGGTCATTTTGTAGGTACCTGAAAAAAGTACACAAAGAAGTGTAAAAGCTAAAATTAAGGGAGAATGGAAAGTATTACTCATGACAGTACAATCTGGTCAATTACCTGGGAGGCAGATTCTCAGGCAACTTGTAAAGGGCTAGTTTCTTCTTTTCAGCTAAACCAGCATAAATGTAGTAAAAAATATGAAAGTTTTTTTCTCCACTGAAAAATAAGATGTCCTTGGTGATTACTTGGAATATGTATTCATTGTGAACATTGCCTGGACACAATCATGAGAACAAAATCAGCGGTGAGCACCTCTGTGGGCCTCCTGGAGCACAGCATCTCGGGGCTGAGTGCTTGCTGTGGTCATTATGTTAAAAAATCACGGTCGTTAAATTACAGGCACCACGATAAACACTTGATATGGATCATTCAACACGTTTGTGCCTTTCAGACATAGTTCCAGGGACTGGGACTGAAAAAACCCAACTTGGAGTGGACAGAGAGGAAAAGAAACACACAGTGTAAATAGCTAACAGGCCAGTGTCCTGCGATAGCTCATGGACTTGTCAAAACTCCCTACACGGCGTGGTTTTCCCATTTTGCACACCAAGAAACTGAGGCTTGGAGCCACCGCTCTCTCTCAGCCACAGACGACCGGGATTCAAACCAAGTCCATCTAATGCCAAAGCCCACGCCTTTGGCCTTCTTTCCACACTTTCTTTCTAAAATTCAGTTTGCTCACCTCCGGGAGAATCTCTTTCTTGGCTCTCAAATCGCATGAGCCTGGGGCTCTATGTATGCAGAGCAGCTCCCGGTGCAGGGCTAACGGAGGGAACAGAGGCCGGATGGGGAGAGCCCGGCCCAGGTGCAGCTCAGTCTGCTCTGCTCCCCTCACAGCTTCCCTCTGTCTGCCTGCCCACTCCACATCACGGGCACAGTATTTCGGAGGTAGATCGACTACAATGCCTCAAACCCTGTGGCTTTGCTGTCCCCTTTCACTTAGTAGGAAACTTGGGCTCATCCCAAATTCTAGCTATGAGCACGGGGGCTGAGTCACGGGTTCCGCGGTGTCACCATAGGTGCTTGCCTGCCTGCCCCCGACAATGGCCTTGGCTGTACTTGGGGTTCCCCTCCTTCACCTCAACGTGGGAATTCCAGGCAGCTTGTCACTCCTCTTGCTTCCTTCTCTCACTTCCTTCACAGCCTGTATCAGGGATACTGGGGGCAACTGAATATTTTCAGAAAAGAATTATTAAGTCAATATTTTTCATTCCAAGGGAGACTTTGAAGCATTTCCATATAAAGTTCATGAAACCGAAAAAGCACGCTACATGGTATGTGTAATTTTATGCTAATTATTTTTCTTAAAAGATCAGAAGGGACTTTAAAACTTTCCTAGATGTTCTCCTCTTGCATATTATGTAGAATAATCTCAATGGAGATGGAAATTTTACCTATGCTTTCTTTAGAAATTATTTATTCTTACAGTATAGAAAAGTTTTCTTCAGAATTAATGGTTATTTAAACATATCCCTATATTCTTACTTTTCCAATGAGGCAATACATGATATTTGGAGTTTTGGAACATCTCGCTTTACTATTTTGTAATCTTTAGTTTGGGTTTAAGATTCCTTCAAAAACTGTTTCAAGAAGGACTTTCACATCAGCTCATTCAAGTCTCTAACACGTTATTAATGAAGGCTTAAAATAAGGTGGTTAAAGGTTTGATGTCAGTGCTGTACTATACCAGGAATTATTTTAGATACCCTATTTGGCCTTTCCTGAAAGGTGAAAAATAAAATACTTAGTGTGAAAGAGCAGAGCTTGATAAAATGGCTCATGCAGACCTCTACTTTTCCTTGTTAGTATCTGAAGGAGAAAAGCAATGGAGCTATTGATTAGTACAGACTCTCCCTGAGGGTCAAAATATCACTAAGCCTTCGAACAGAGCTCAGATGCTCATGAAATGCAAATCTGTCAAATGTCAGGCCAGAGTGAACTAGAGCTTGGGGTGAAATAGTTGCAGAGGAGAGGCGAAAAAGTGATTGCAGAGTTCAAGTCAATACCACTTTCAATTAAGCATGGAAAGTGAGTCAGAGTTTTCACAGCCACAGGGGAACCGTTCCAAAAAAGAGGAGCTATGGAAAGGCGGGTTTGGGAATGAATTCAATCAAATCTGAGACAGCAGCAGGATGTTTCAGTAGTTGGAAAACGTGAACTTGGGAAACAGAAAGAAGTACGTCTTTGGGTATTGATCATATGGAGCTATCTACTGAGGTCACGATGTAGGAAGAAATTGCAAAGTGAGAAAGTGGAGGGAGAAAAGAGAGAAGCCACAAGGGTAAATCTCCATTAATGCACATTTTAAGAATGAACAGATGAACCTAAGTCAGAGAAGAAAAATTCAGAGCAGTAGGAGAAAAATTAGGAGAAGCCAGTCATGGAGCAAAGTGAGGGTTCCAAGAAGGGGTCCCCAGGGCAGGTGCTGGCGGGCACACCCTTCCTCAGAGCAGGTCAGATTTGCAGCCCCGAGTCCCCTGGCAGGCATCAGTGAGGCTTCCACAAATACTAACACTGCTCACGAGCAAGGCTAGAGCAAAACTGAAAGTTTAGTTTAGTTCTCCTCTCTTCTACCACCGTACAATGAAGAGGCTCTAAGATTAGTACGGCATATAATTTGGTTTGCTTTGTTCCACTGATTGCTCCACGTAGCACATCTTTAATTCTGAAGTGATGCAATGTGCAATTACCAAAGTGACTCATGAGTGTAAATACACAAAGGCAGTGGATTTCTCTTTAATTATCAGTTTACATTTACTGAGAATTGTGATTGACAAGAGCTGGAGATACGATGGGAAGTAAACTGACCTTCACGGAATAAGCAACCTCAAGGTTAAAGCAATGGGAAGAGGAGCCACCTCCAGCATCACCATTTCCCATCCCGCCCGGACCCATCAGAGCTGCAGGAGAAGACAGCCAGGCAGCACCACAGCCTGCTCAGTGTGGCCAGTGGCTCCCACGTCAGGGCTTCCTGGGCACAAACGCAGGGCCTTAGCAATTTTCCCAGTAGTATTTCTCCGACTCTGGCTCCACTTCTGCTTGTGAATCCTCCATTGCCTTTCTGGGGTCCCAGGGGAACAGCCTCGAGTGTTGAACTGTGCAGGACCCTGGGGCTGAGCTGCGAACTAAGGCTTCTAAATCCCTGCAAAGCCTCACAGGGGTGTGGGTTCAAATACCTGTGAAACCCTCAAATCTTTAACATAGTGGCCAGCAAGAAGGCATGGAAAGTTAGTAATGAAGCTGGGCCTTCTTGAGGTCCTGTGGGTATTCACAAAACAATGCTTTCAGTTTCTTTTCAATCACACCTCCTTCCTCCGAGCCAGCCAGTCTCCTCAGTAGCCCTCCTTGGCACCTACCCGATCACTGGCAGCAGCTGAACCCATTCCCTGGTTTCCTGCGGGACTCCAGGCCCAGGAATGACCAGTAAGCTTTGCTCCAAGGAGACTGCAGGGATCCAGTAGACACTCGATAAACATTTGCCAAATGGACGAATGAATGAACAAATGAATGAAAGCTGGGCTTTGGAGTCAGAAAGACAAGGGTTCAAACTCCAACTCAGTGACTTACTAGCTTTTTGACATTAGGCAACTTATTAAAATTCCTTTAGTCGCTGTTTCACCATTGATAAAAGAGACAATAATCCTGTTGTCTGACTAAGAATTATAAGACCTAAAGGCTGTAAGGTGCTTAGCACAGTGCCTGACACGAAGTGACTGCCCCATAAATGTATTTCCCCTCCCTCCACAGTAGACAGCACCATGCTGCCATGGAGCTTACGACTCCTAGGAGCCCAGTAAAGGGCTGGCGAGGGAGAGGAAAACAATCAGTGCTTGCTGAACCACACCTTGTGACAGGAAGGAAGGAATGGAGCAGAAACAACTGTGATTTATATTTATGAGAATTACCCAGCAAGGCCTTCAATATGCTCATTTTCTCTTTGAATTTAAGGAGCCTCAATGTTCTTCTTTAAAATCATCTATTTCTAGAAAAGGACTCAAGTCACAAGTTTCTACGAGTGCCATCATGAGAAAGTTAATTAAACAGTAAATGTGGTCAGAGACTGGGGTGTGATGACATGGCAGAGGAGAAAGAAAAGCACCAGTTCTCTGAAAAGAAAGTGTAAGTTCATTTTAAACATGTGTCTGCTCCAGTCCTTCCCTGCTCCTCATATCCAGGCCCTGATCTTCCCTCTGGGACTCCAAAGGCCCAGCTGCTCCCTTCTCTGCCTTCCCTGGGTCCAGGCAGCAGGGAGCAGAGAGAGGTTACTTGGGGAGGAACAGGAGAGCAGGGAGCACCCGCTCCTTCCTGTCCCATGGGGCAGGCATCCCCTGGCCTGCAGCTGCAGGTTCACTCATGTCATTTCCCACCCATGGTAGCCTATGGGGATCTCACCATGCATTCTGGATTCTTTGATGTCCATTCCGCATTTGCAAATAGGTTTCCACTTGAACCCTTTGAACTAGATCTTTCTTTTTGGTAACTCTGATTGATACATTTATAATTAAAAAATAAACCTACAAATAATGCTTCTACTACATCTCTGATATTTTCCTTCTATAGGTCACAAGAAGCTCCTCTGGAATATAAAATGTAATTCATATTAAGTGAAAGAAAAATAGAAAAATGAAAATTTAGCTTTGTTGTAAATTATTAGGTAGCTGTGCGCCAGTAATATTTGAATTGTATTTTAACTTGGTTGTGGATTTGGGAGTTGGAAAGCTTTTCTCCAATAAACAGAGTGGTAAAGTTAAAATAACTTCTTAGACCAGCCTGGGAAAAAAGCTTATTTAATTCCTAGTGTGCCTTAAATGTACTCCTAATCATGCAATTTCTTAGGCCACTTCCTGTGATATTTCCAGGATCATTAAGAGTTGATTTCTATGGCCCCCCCGTAACTCCAGAGAACACCTGCCACGTGGTATTCTGAGGGAGGGAGGTTTGGCACTGCACTCCACACCGTGTGAAAGAGGCCCCTGCATGTCATGAGCATGGCGGCTCCACCTAAGCATCAACAGTCACTCCTAGGGAGTTCTCCCCCAGAGGCCTGCAGGAAGGGCATACACAATTACAAAAGCAGGACAGACAGCTTTGAGAACCAGTTTAAGTCTCCACGTCTGTGTAAGACCCCAAGGTCCCTCTAGGTATGGGTGATACAGGCACTGCATGTTCACTATGCTCTGGCCATGGGCACACACAGTGATGGTGGCTGTCATTTATTAAACATCTTCAGTGTTCCATCTCTGTGCTAGCCATCCATCATTTCTAATCTTCACCACTACCAACCTTGCTACCACTAATGGGTTAAACTTATAAGGTTCTTACTATACACTATTCATTGTGTTAAATACTATACTACCTGTATTATCATGTTGACAAGTACTAGTGCTTTTGCCCTTTTGAGATAACAAATTGAGGTGCAGGGAGGTTAAGTCAACTGCTTCAAATCACACATGTGGTAAGCTGCATTTCAAGACCCTATATGCATCTTTAAGGTTTAAATATCTTACCCAAAACAGACTAATGAATTCTGAAGCCATATTTCAAAACCATATTGGCCTAATAATGTTTTCTTACATACCTTTAATTGAAGATCGAGTGATAACTATCCACACTGTGTGTGATGGTCAACAGCTGGAATCCAGGCAGCTGGCATTCATGGCTTTGTTTGTTTTGTGCTGGGCATTGAACCTAGGACCTTGTGCATGCTATGCACATACTTTACTGTTGAATGACACCCCAGCCCCACATTCATGATTTACACATCAATTAAATGACAGAAGATTTGGACGGACTTGTATTAAATAATATACAAATATATAACCATAGCTTATCTTCCTATGAACTTAACATGAAATTCTACTACAACAAAGTAGAGCGTGACTGGCATGAAACCAACATGAAAAGTAGAAGATTCTAACTTGTCATACTTTCTCAAAAATAATATAACCACCAGGGTACAAATCAAACGTGTAACTAGTTTCCTCCTAAAAATAACATAAAGTTGTTTTGGAGTCATTATACAGAAGAGGAAAATTGTCACTCAGCTACAGACTATTTGCTATGGCTTAGATCTAAAATATCCCCCAAACTTATCTGCTGTGTGGAGGGGTTTTGAAGGGCAATAGGATCATAGGGCACTATGCTCCTCAGTGGATTTAGCCATGGATGGGTCCGCAGGTGAGTGTGCCTGACCGGAAGAGGTGGTTCAGGGGGTGTGGCCTGGAAGAGGGCCTCTTCCTGCCTGTCTCCTCCCTCCTCTCTGTCTCTCCTTCCTGACCATGGTGTGAGTTGCTTTCCTTCACTACGTGCCCATCTGCCCCGCTGTTTCTCCTGTGGAGCCACAGCTGTGAGCCAAGATAAACCTCCCCCCGCTTCCAGGTGCAAGTGTCAAGTATTTGCCTCAGGAATGAAGTGACCAGGACACTACCGGAAGGAATTTAATCTAATATCAGACCAGTATAGAACACAATGGTGGTGTAAATCAGTCAGCAACACAACAGAGCCCATTCCTGAATCTTTTCCTTGGTCCCTTGCTTGTAAACACATGAAGGAGGGAACTGATTCAAAGACCTACTTATACGCAGCATGATTTAAAAGGAAAACAGACTCAAGGTTATTTCTAATTAAAGTTCATATTGATTTCATGGAGAGAAATAAATCCAGTCTTACTGCAGGATGCACTCTTATTTACTCTGTTAGTACCTTTATGATAAGCTTTGGTTTTCTGTCTGGTAGCATTATCTTTGGGTTATTTATTAATTTCTCTACTGAAAGGAACATATATGGGAGTAAGACAACACTGAGGGGCCTCCTTGCTTCTAATACTAAGTGTCAAGCATGAATTAAGTGATTGACAAAGTTTTGTTACATGAGAGAGACCTTTTCCTATTAAAACAGGTGCATTGTCTTTGCTTATGTTTCCCAGAAAACAGGAGATTCTGGACATGAACTTACGTAGCTTGGTGGATAACTCGGGATTTCTCCAGAAGATATTCAGAAATTTGTGCACCCACTACAGCTCCAGAAGAGGTAAATTTCATTTCTAAGTATTTCCCAAATCGGCTAGAATTGTCATTTATAATAGTGCAGGCATTGCCAAAGGCTTCTAGCAAATTGCTCACTTGTAAAATCTTCTCTTGCAGGGTTCTGTTATTAGCCTAGAAAGAAAATGCCAAGATATTAAAAAGCATAGAAAAGTTTGTCTGTAGTAAGATGTCACTCCTTCATAAGCACTTTGTGTAGACATAGATGAAAGAAAACATCTTCTTATCATTGCCAGCTGTCACAACCTGGTCTATGCTCCCGCCCATATATATCTTCACTCTTCATTTCTTAAAAAAGGTCAAAGAGAAACTCTATATTTTATTTTCAAACACAGTTCCGGTTAGTGCCTCATTTACAGACAAAACTCCTAAGTAAACAGCCTGTGCCCTGTGGAGTGCATCTCTTGTCTTGTTATTATTCCCACTTGCCCAGCCCGGGTCCCACCCAACCTCCCTCAAAGCCAGCACCTCGTCCCTGGCATCCACAGAAGCTGCCAACCCTGAATCTGACAGCAGAGATAATTTGTGGATTCTGAATGGAGGAAAGGGAGTTGTGAACAGCAAGAACAGGGCAGAAGTGGAGGGGAGACATTCTGTAAGACGAAGGAGTGGAGAGGTACTTGTGTCCGGGAAGCAGACTGCACTAGGGTTTGAGGGGACTGAAGGACCAGGCACAGTGAAGTTTTAGGTGGGATGAGGGTTGGGGAGTCTTCTAAAAGAGGCAGTAGACCGTGGGGAAGATCAGCACAAGTTTGGCTGATGAAAAATGTCTTGTGCTTACATGGAGTTCTTCTCTGCCACGAAGAAGGGTAAGCTTGAGGCATCTGTGGGTAACTGACTGCTCCCGAGATCATAATGATAAGTGGAGTAATTCAGACACACGAGCTTAGATATCGTACAGTTTCTCTTATCCAAGAAACCTCAGATGTAAATAAAGAGCAAGATAAAGAACAGATAATAGCAAGTAGAGAAATCTTTCAAATAGGAAGAGGAACAAGTGATGGAGGGGAAAGCGAAGGAATGGAAAAAAATTTAAAAGGGAATTGAAGAAAAAATGGAAAAAGCTTTTTCAAGTGAGAAGGGTGAAGTGAGTGGAAGTTGGAGGGAGGAAAGGGGAGGGGACAGGACGGGGACAAGAAGGGTTAAGATGTATTAGGGACTTGCGCAGACTCCCTATGATAAATGCAATCATTGCAGACAGGTACTGATAAAAAGGCGTAAGAAAATATAGCAGTAAAAGCACATTTTAATGACCTTTTTACTAAAAAATGTTTTGGGCTGGTCTTGCAGCCATGTAAAAGGTGGAATAATACCATTATCAACCTGTACTAAATAGCAAGGATTGGAGGGAACACATATTCCAAAGGAAGTTCTGCCAAACATGCCAGTTTTTTTTGTTGTTTTGTTTTTTTGTTTTTTGAGGTAGGGTCTCCCTTTGTAGTTCAGGTTGACCCTGACCTCACTATATAACCCAGGCTGGCCTTGAACTCATGGCAATCCTCCTGCCTCAGCCTCCCAAGTGCTGGGACTACAGGTGTGCGCCACCACATCTGGTTTGGACATCCCAGTTTTGCACTGGATAAATCTTTCAGAAAGGAGATAAGTAAAAAACAAGATAAGACCTGATAGGGGATGGATTCTCCATGTGTGTATACCCAATTAAATTACATTTTTAGATCTGGGACAAGATAGAAAGATGAGACTCACAAGTTTGCTCCCATCTACAAAAAATCATGCACACAAATTTAATTCATTATCGATAAGAACCTCTGTCAGCTCACGAATCAAGACAGCATAGCAGAGCCCTTGCCTACAGCCCTTGAAGAAATTAATTCAGTGCTCAGCAACTGTGCACCAGGGTAGGACGCTGCACCTCACTGGCCCGCTGCCGGCGTCTCCTCTTATTCACTGTCCTCCAAACCCTCCAGACATAAGGGAAGGGGACTGGTCACACCTCCTCTCTGGTCTCAACACCTCTTCTCAGCATGAGGACCACAGTTCTGGAGAGCAAAGGTCACTAACACACTGGACAAAGCACACTGCTACTCCATACCGACATGCCTGACAGAAAATATGAAAACTAGTCCACTGCTTTTTAGCAGGAACGTGAAATTCTTCCTACTTATCATTTTGGATACAAATGAGGCTCAGCTGAAGAGTTGATTTGCACCATGATGCCTTCTCTTTTTATGGCGAGATTAGACTTCAACCTGTGCCCAGTGGTGCTTATAACATAAAATTCATACAGTCACAGCATTGGCAAAAATTTTGACACAGCCCTAATTATAACTATGTAGGTCATAATAAAATTTTCATAAGGTTTAGTTGTATACAGTGTTTTTTCAGTTGCTAGCTTAATGAGAAAATACAATTCTTGTTTTATCTCATTTTAGGGGCTTTCATGGAAAATTAAAGTCTCTTCAACTTCCCCTAAAAAATTAAGGGATAATTTATATACAGAAAGAGTCAGTCTTTATGGTGTACAGCTGAAAGTTTTGATAAACATATATAATCAATCTCTAGTACAAATAATTTTTCAGCCTTCAGAATTACCTTTTGGTCCTCTGTATTCAATTCTTCCTCTACTTCTAGCTCCTGATACTCATCCCTCTGTATTCAATTCTTCCTCTACTTCTAGCTCCTGATACTCATCCATCTATACCTTTACCTTTAAGTTTACAAGAACGGCATATAAATTGAATTATATGGTACATTAGTCTTTCAGTCCTACCTCTTTGACTTAGTATAATGCATTTGAGATTCATCTAATGAGATTCATTGCTTGTATTAGTGTTTGTTCCTTTTTATTGCTAAGTAATATTGCACTGTATGGAGGTACTATGATTTGTTTATTCTTTAGTTTGGTCATTTCCACATTCTGGAGCTTATTGATTAAAATTACTGTAAATATTTGTCTATAGCCTTCTGTATGAGCATGGGTTTTTATTTCATCTGAATAAATAGCAGTAGGACTCCTGGGTTATATGGTGAACGTAGCTCAGCTTTATAGGAAACATCAAACCATTTTCCAAAGTGGTTGTACCACTTTTCATTCTCACTAGTAACAACTGTATGAGACTCAGCGTCACCTCATCCTTGTGAGCCCTTATTCTTGTCAGATCTTTAAAGCAATTTGTAGCTAAGGTAATGGGTATTTAATTGTAGTTTTAGTGTGAATTTCCCGAAGGGTTACTGTTGTTTTCACAGCTGTCTATTTAGTTGCCATTTACATATCATCTTTGGTGAAGTGACTGTCCAAATCTTTCCTCCATTTTTTGTCTTTTGATTTCTTAATGTTGAATTTTAAAAGTTTTTTCATATTTCTTGACTACAACTAGATACAGCTTCATTAATTATGTGACTTGCAAATATTTTCTCTTAGGATGCAGATGGCTTGTGTTTTCATCTTCCTAACAGTGTCACCAGAGAACAGCCCATAAGTTGGATAAAAATTCAATTTGTCCTTTTCTGAGTGATGCATTTTTATTATTTCTGAGAACTTACTGGCTGACAACTCAAGATTAAAATAAGTTTTCCTATGTTCTTTTCTGTGGTTATCTTTTTTTTTTTTTGTACTGGGGATTGAACTTGGGTCCTTGCGCTTGCGGAGCAGGCAGCGAAACCACTGAGCTAAATCCCTGGTGCTATGTTCTTTTCTATAAGTTTTATAGTTTTAGATTTTACATTTAGATTTATGATCCATTTTGAGTTAAATTTTTGTAATGTCTGAGGCCTAGATTAAAGTTTATTGTGGGGGTGGTTTGTCTGGGCAAATGCAATTATTCCAGCACCATCTACTTGAAAGATTACCACTCCTCATGAGTTGACCATGTGCCTTTGTCAAAAATAAATAATATGTACAGGCTGTTTATTTTATTCCATTAATCCATGTGTCATCCTCCCTTTAATAAAATACTTCTTAGCAAGTCCATAATAAGTCTGGAAATCAGGTAGAGTGATTATTTTCCAACTTCATTGTTTTCAAAATTGTTTGGCTATTCTATTTCTTTGCCTTTCCATATATCCTTTTGATTCGATGTGTTGATTTCCACAAAAAAATCTTTCTGGGATTTTAATTTAATTACATTGAACCTACAGATCAATTCATGAAGAAATGACCTCAATAACATTCAATGATTTAATCCACGTACATGTTATATCGCTATATTAATTTAGCTCTTCTTAGATTTCTTTTATGATTTTTTTTCTCTTTTTTAGCATACAGATCCTATCCACAAAAAAATTTAGATCTATATATGCCATATGTTTTGGTGCCATTGTAAATGATACTTTTAAACTTCAATTTGTAATTGATCATTGCTAATACATATATGATATATAGGCAATTGATTTTTTAAAAATAATAACTATCTTATCTTCTAGCAACATGAGGAGAGAAAATACAGAAAGAATTCAACAAATGCACAGGGCTAACAAGACAGAAAATCATCTTTACATAGGCTCGCCTAATGTTATGTTCCCCTAGAAGTCTCACGTGTTCAGAGGTAGGGCTTCTAGGGGGTGAGTGGGTCATGAGGATATGATATTCCGCAGTGTATTCAGCCACTGATGGTTCACAGCTGAATGAATAGGTGTTAGCAGGTGGGCCTGGGTGTTCATCACTAGGCACCCAGCCTGGAAAAGCGCCTTCTTGTCCCCCACTCCTCCCTTCTGTCTCTGCTTCCCAAATGCCAAGAGCTGAGCTGCTCTCTGCCACCTCGCCTTTCACCATGCTGTTTCTGCCTGGGAGCGCTGACCATGGACTGAGCCCACTGAAACTGAGCTGAAAGAGTCCTCTCTTTAAGTTATAGCCATTGAGGACTTTGTCCCAGCAATGGCAAAGTGACTAATGTACCTAATAAGAATGAAAAAAGTTGTAACATTTTTCAAAACACAATATATGCTTTAATATTATTTGTTATATTTTAAGCTGAAAATATAATTATCTGTTATAATTCCCTTGCATTATTTAATCTGGGAACTAGTGAATATTAAATACTCAGTCATATGAAGTTTTAAAATATAACAGACATTTCTGTTAGGACAGAGAAAAAACAAATTGTACCTTTCCAAGCACTGTCAGCTGCTGAACTAAAAGATGAGCACTTTCGGTCTTTCCAGCACCACTTTCCCCAGAAATAACGATGCACTGCACAGGGAGAAAAGGAAAGTATGAGAAGACTTCAGTCTGACAGAATTCACCGGGCACAAAAGAAACTAAGACGGGAGTTTCTGAGAGCGTGAAGGACACGCCTTACCTGGTCTGAGTCATAAGTGACCATAGACTGATACCCTGAGTCCGCCACTGCAAAAATGTGAGGGGGATGGGCAGTTCTCTTGGCTCCAGTATACAGTCTGGAATGCTAAAGGTTGAAAAGAATATGTCTTGTAGGGCTTTTTAATTTTGTTTCTCTTTTTATTTAAAACATGGATTATTTACAGATACAATTCTAATTTTAAAAGCAAAATATAAATGAAAATGCTATTTTATGCCAACAAAATATCATGACATACACTACCCATGTGTGCATATATACATTCACAAATCACGAACAATTACGTAAAATAAAAACCTGACATAAAGCAGTCCAGGAATATGGCATGATGTGAAAGAATATAATATCATTGGAAGTATATTTAAAAGATTTTGCATGTCACTTCCAAAGCAGAAATTAAGGCTTCAAAATACTACTACTTAAAAAAATATGATTACTTGTTTAGATAAAAATATTTTATACATAAAACAATCAAGTATCATGCTGTGGATTACTCTTTGGATATACTGTCTAACATGCACCAATGCTCTGCTCCTCTTACTTCATTAACTTACATTGTCTCATGTGACTTGTACAAGATCATACAGTGCATGAAAGCCCAAATGTATAAAAAAGCCCAACTTCTGTAACCTATATCAAGGCTCATAAATTTATCATTATTCTATAAATTTTAGGGTGGTACTGGGAAATAGATATGCATTTTTCACAGTTAAAATAACTGTTGGGTACAATATTAATTAATTTTCTAGACTACATAAATAGCTAGAAAAGAATAGGTCCAATTAAAAATTAAAAAACAGTCTAGTTTAATTCTATATTTAAATGATTAGGGGTTGAATAATGATAATTATATATTCATATTCATAAAACACACATTGTGTGGCAGTAATAAGCCAATCAATATGTTACAAGAAACTTTTAAACTCACAAATTTTACAACTACGAAGTATGCATTTTATGTATATAATTATACATATATGTATATATTATAGTTCTATTTTTGAGTCTCAAAGACTTGGTTCAGAGGCAGACAGTGAGTGGACTTTTAAATACATCTGTTTGGTGATATGCTATGTGTTATCAAGTTGCTGCTAGCAACTAGACATAATTAACATTCTGACACATATTTTGGAGGAAGACCAAAAATCGCACCTAGATTGACTTCATCTGTTTTTTTATCTTTCTATTTTAATAATAATTATATAATTGCTTTTTTTCAAAGTGCTAGATAAAATTTTTATTGACATCCATTTATAGTAAGGATCTGAAAAGTATACTTATTTGTACAAAAGAAGAGAACACTAGCCACAGGACATACCTTTGTGGAATACAGACCCAGACTCTGAAAAGGGTTAAGAGCAATGAGTATATCTCCCACATAGATGTAGATCTGATCTTTGGAATAACATTTCTCAAGCTGCTCTGAGACTGTATGCTGCAGTAAAATAAAAATTTCTGTGTCTTTAAAAATCATTGTGGTGAATTACAATTTAATAGCAAAAAGGTAATAAATAATACAGAAATAAAACATCTTGAGTCTAGAAACAGAGATGTTAACAGTAAAAATGTAACATCAGATCTGCAAGTACCTGTTCTATTGACTGGTATTTTTCTCCGGTTTTGCGAACCAAATAGGAATGTCAGTATTAACTTCATTTTCCAAAGCAAATGTTATATGTTTGATATTACACATTGTATGTTATATGCAATCTGTTAAATTATATGTTATATTGAATTCAAGTAAATAAGCAAATGCAGTAGAAATGAAGAAAAAGAATTCTGAAAGGGGAAGAAAAGATACAGTGTGAACGACTGTATTTCAAATAGCTTTGTGGAATGTCCTAGTTCTCTCCTTAGACATTTGGCTATATGAGGCAGAGGGAAAAATTCATACAAGTAACTTTCACAGTTGATAAATGATAATCACATGAGTCAATTGTAATTCTGTCAGAAAGTATCATTCATAAAACATGACACACGACAGGAGCAAGAGATAGTACGGTGAAAAAGAAACAAAAATATAAAATGCACAATACAGAGAGATAAGTCCAGTATTCAATATATCAAAATAATTGGTAACAACATGATTGCTGAAACCTTTATGATTCATAAGCCTGAGAATTCACATCATTGCAAAATTCGATAGATAAGGATTCAGGAAGGAGGCAGCAATCTACAGCTTTTAACGCTATTCGATCTTAAGATACTTGATGCTCCTGAGAGAGATTATTTTGATCAAGTACTGGAGTTGTTCATGTATCCTAAATTTCCCAAGTGACTATGTGTTAGCTTTCCATTATTAGAACCAACGCCCGAGATACTTCAAGGAATAAAGAGAAGTGGTTTCTCCTGGCTCACGGTTTCGGAGGTTTGAACTCGTCCCACAGCTCTGGGGTCCTGGGAGGCAGCACAGGACCACGGAGCAGGTGGAGGAACAAAGAGCAGCTCACTGTGGGCCAGGAGGGAGAGGAGAGGAAGAGGCCAGGGTCCCAGGTCCCCTTTAAGGACGGGGCCCTAACGGCCCGAGACCTCCCAGGGGCCACCGCTCCCCACCTCGAGCTGGTGACCAAGTCCTGAGCACCTGGGGCTGTGGCCACGTTCTTGACCCCAAAACAACCGCAGACTACTTCCGCTCAGCACGGGTCTCTAGGTTTGTTGTATTTCTCAGCAAAATGCTTAGGTATGTTAATAGAAGTATTACAATAATAAAAACGTGTTAACTAGGTAGAAGGCCCAGCCTTTACTGAAAAAAAAAGGCCCTTTATTTCTCTAACGCTCTGATTATCTGGAATAAAGTCTGGATGAGGGGAAAGCGTGCCGAGATTACAATTTAGTGGAATGGAGTTTTACCCGCACCAAAAAGATTTCTAAAACATTTCTAAAGTAACTGGAACAAAGAGTTTCAAGCAGAATTCAGTGCTCTAAAAATGTGAGCACGTCCTCGGTCATCAGTTTCTCTGGTCCCATGAGGGACCACTGGCCCTGATAACAGAAGGTTCTCGCAGTATTCTGCAGGACTCTGGGTGCTGCCACTGAGCAGGAGAGAGGGGGAGTGCCAGGCAGTGGTGTGAGAGGCAGACTGACTTTTAAACACAGTCAGTTATACGTTTGAGACTCCCAGAAGTAACTAAAGAGAAAAGAGAGCTGTAAGGCAACAACCCATGGTTAGGCGATTTCCCACCTTCGTCATTTGAGCATTAACAAAATGGCACTGGGATAGGAAGATCTGGAAATTCGAGTTTTATTTATTAAATCTGAACATAGAAGAGCTAATTGGAAAGTTGAGGGAAAAAATGAGGCAGCTGGTATTCAAAGAATCCCTTGTCTACATCATTTCTATATATTTAAAAACCCTAGAATGTTGAAGTTTAATTAAACCCCGTATCTTACCTCATCCAAAATGTCTAGGGTTGCTAGATCATCTACATCCTTTGGAATGGAAATTAAAGATCTGTTCAAGTTACCTCTCTTGGTATGAATACGTTCGTGCCTGTGGAGAAAAACCACTTCCGAAATCAGAGCTTATTACTGATCAGAGCAGAAGTAAGTTTAGACACATGTGAGATTGACTGAAAAACTCTGTAATGCTGTTTTCTAAATTCAATCACAGGCTACTAAAAATTTTCCTAATATATTTTGTCTTTGCAGTTTTCTTTCTCTTTTCCATTGGGAAAACACAACGTATGAAACTTCACAAACAACCAAAAGGGTCCATAATTTCTATCAAGAAATAACCTAAATTTGCCAAAAATTTACAGCTTCCTGTAAATTTCTATGTATGATTTAATGTGTTACAAAGCAGTGAGACTGCAAGATTTGAATTCATTAGATTTCCGGTGTTGTCGGAGGCAATGTTAGGCCATTGGTGGTCTAAGTATGATAATTTAAAAATTTAACAGACATACAAAATAAATCATATCTTAAATTTTCCAAAGGTTAAATGTGTGTAAAACTGGATTTCAGATACTAGAACCTTTATTTCCAAAACAGAACATGTCAATGACCTTCAAAAATAGCATAAAGATCTTTATGTAATGTGAAGGCTAGAGAAATTGCTGAGATAAACACAACGGCGTGCTTAAACTTTTCCAGACATTTACTTGATTTTGAGAATTGTATTTCCAGTGTTTATTCTGCGACATATTTCCAAGCATCTGGATTTGTTCAGTGGTCTAAAGGAAGTGCACTAAATAGATCATGAGAAGTATTAAGAGCCATAACACTCCCTCGGCAACCTTCAGTGGTTTCTAATTGCTTAGAAAATTAAATCTATTAGAGACAGGGATGTAGCTCAGTGGTGGAGTGCTTGCCTCATATGTGGAAGGCCCTGGGCTCAATTCCCAGAGTGCAAAGAGGAAAAAGAATGGTAATGCGGTCTATGACCGTAATAAACGGCCCCTTCCCTAGCAAAGGCCAGCTGTTTGCTTCTATCCCCTCTCACGTGCTTCAGGATATCATTCTCGCTGGTCCTCTTATTCCTGCATCAGTTTTCACCCTGGCTGTTACATCACACACCTCACAAACAACAAACTGTCTTCCCCTGACTTCCATTTAAATTCCATTTAAATGTTCCACTTTCCTCCACTTACTGTTCCATTTCTCTGCTTTACAGGAGGGAAAAATCCTCAAAAACTTCACCTATACTTAAGTCTGTTTGAGCTTCTATCTCTGCACTCCATGGAACGATCTTTTATTGAAGACACCAATGACCTTCACGTTGCTAAAGCTACAGGTCGATTCTAAGTCCTCATTTCACTCAGCCCACAGAGCATTTAGCCAGTGCCTCCTCAAACACATTTGTCCTGGCTCCCTGTACATTTCTCTTGGTTCTCTTCGGGCTTCATGGGCATCTCCATCTCAGTATATCTTTTTCTGCTTCTTCCTCATCTTTCTGTCACATTTTGGGGTCTCTCAAAGTTCGTTCTTGAGCTATTATCTTCTCTCTGCTCATTTCCTTTCTTCATAGCTTCGAACATCCCTCCAGCGCTGACGACTCTAGGTGCAGGCATCCAGCACAGGCAGACTTAGCATATCCCAACCACACGGCTGAACACCCGGCCCAGGCCAGCCCGTCCACCGCGATCCCAGCTCAGTCTGTGACGAGCGAACGCTTCGATCATTCAGAACAGACATCTCAGCGGGGTCCCTGGCTCTGCTCTTCTCACTCCTTTCATGCGATCGAGATACGGATCCCATCGGCTCAGGCATCGCACCATGTGGAGGCCGGGACCTTCTCGCCTCTGTCCCCCCATCAGGCCTCCCTCAGTCACCGCAGCAGCAGCTTCCTGGTAAGAGGGTGCCCTGCTCCGTACACCCCTCTTATCACCAGAGCCAGAGGGGCCCTTGGAGAATAAGTCACATCTTCTCACTCTGCTCAGAATTCCCGTCTCTCCACTATTGCTCAGCAATAGCCAAGCCTCGACGTGGCCTAGAAGGCCCCGTGTGCTTTGCGCCTCTGCCCTGCTCCGCTCACCCCCATCATCCCTCTAGCACCATCTCTTCCCATAACCCTCCAGCCGTCCCGTCCTTTCCATCCTCACTGGTTTCCTCCTTCTGTCTTACCTTTTGGCGTGCTTCTAACTCGTGGACTTGGACTTGCTATTGTGAAAGATACAGTTAAGAAAATAAAAAGCAAAGCCACAGTCTGGGAAAAAATATTTGCACATCACAGACCCAGTGAAAGACTTGAGAATAATGCTCGGAACAGTGTCTTACTCCTTCTTGTAATTCTTAGATTCCTCCACAGTCATTTATTAAAATGTATAATTGTGTGCTTAAGTATGTAGGAAATTTAGTAATGTTTGAATCCTTTACTAGAATTAACATTCCAAGATTTGAAAGACTTTGTCTTTTGGTCCCTCATTTTATCACGTGGCTAAGCAGAGTATTTAGAACGTAGTATGAGGCATGATCAAAAATTATGGTGAATATTTAAAATTTAAAAGTATCACCGTAAAAGACACCCTGCCATTAACCCCCCTCCCCCAAACTCTACCCCTCATTCCAAACACAATTGTGTCATCATTCTCCCCACTTCCGGCAGCAGCTCTGCAGTCCTCTTGCGTGAGTGTCTTTTAGTTGCACTGTCCTGGCTGCCTCGATGTCCTGAATGATTCAAAATCTTTACCTCTCACGGTCATTTTGATGTTAGGGAAGAGCCAGAAGTTGAACACTGCCGGATTTGATGAATGAGGTGGATGAGGATACACTGTAATGTTTAGGAGCCTGCTGTGCTGTTGGATGGTGCCCAGTAGCAGCATTCCCTGTATTTTAAAATGATGCCACAGGAAGACACTCATGAAAGAGGACTTCAGAAAGTGGCAACAATGATGGGATAAATGTGTTGGATGCAAAAGGGGGTATTTTGAGAGGGATTACTACATTCTTTACTATAATTTTTTAAAAAAGAATTGAAACGTGCACTGCATTTTTTGATCAACCCCTGTGGGTCCTGAGTAAGTGTTAATGCATGAGTGGGATATGGATCCTCCCCAGCTTTTGCTACAGGATTTGCCTTTGTTCTCCACATTTGATGAAATGAACAAGTATTATCAACATCCCCCTTTTTCAAAGAGACACCATATAATCATTTTGCATAATCATTTCGATGCATTCTTTTAAAGAAAATAGAGAAAAAAAATCAAATTATCTATCTAAATGAAGTGAAAGGCCTTGAACTTTTTATCTGTTCTTATGAGCACATCAGGCGGCTGATGATGGCTCTTGAAGAAAGACGGAAGCAGATGGTGAGGGATTGGGGCTATGGCTTGCCTGGCTGGTCCCCTCCCTTTCCTCTTCTGTGAACTCATCCTCCACAGGGCTTTGGTATTGGCCGTCAGAAATTGGAGCATATCTGATCAGTGATGACTAAAAGCCAGACAATTCTCCACTTTCTGCAGCACACCTTGACATGTCCTTGGCATGGAACTTGCTGCCTTCTCCATCCTGCTCAGCCCTCTGGCTTCCCTGCTGTCCTCCCTGCCCAGCTCCCTCAGGGGCTGTGGACTTCAAAGGCTCTGTGTTTGCTCGTTGTGTTTGCTCTACCCGGAATTATTTTCCTCCCATGCATGGCAAAATTCTACTTTTCCTCAAAGTGAGGCTCAAAGTCACCCTCTCTAGAGCCACTGCAGGAAGGCCAAGAGGGAATTCAACACTGGAGGGAGTTCCCCCATTCAACTGGGGCTCCGCACTGTTCCGTCAGACAGTGAGGGACTGCTGTGCACAGGCCGGGCGTCCTCGCCTTTCTGTGCCTGATCTCAGGGTGTAAAGGAAAACTGACGGTTTTCATTTTCATCCTAACTTGAGTATGGTATCGACACTTCCCTAAAGCAAACTGAATGCTTCAAGTTTGAGTAGAAAATATCTTTAAATAATCTTTCTTAACATAATATTTCTTAAAGCATACCTAATTTTTCACAGAACATCTAAATGTTTATACACATAATTTTACATAGCAGTGAACAGCTAATCAGTCATGATTCCTTATTGTTCTAGACATCTTTTATGTTTTCATTATCGAATGATTAAGAAAAGTGCATACATTGATTTGTCAGATTTAGCTGCATGCCAAGTATTAAAATTGCAAGGAAAGCACATTTTGATAGTTAAAAATCTAAATTTATAAAAGTAATAGCTATAAATTTCAGAAGGGCACTTTCTTTAAAACCTTTCCATATCAATATTATTTTGATAGAAATCTAAGTGTGCAGTTGAACACAAGCCACATTTATTGAGATCTGGCTACACTCAAGACATTGACTTACGTGCTGTAAGGATATTATATGTGGATTAGGATCTAATCCTCTTCCATGGGTTTCATTCTAGTAGGAGATATGCACACAACTACTGAATTTATAACATACAAGGCACATGACAAGTGCCAAAACTGACGTGGTAAGAAGTAGCAAGGAGGAGATAATTAATTTCATTCTGGTAAACCGGGTATGGTTCCCAGCAGATTTTGCATTTAATCCTGGCATTGAAGCAGGAGTAGGACTCCAGTAGCTGATGAAGAGTATTCATGTGTGGATGAAGAGTGGTGGATGATCAAATCGGAAAGAACAGCAGTTAAAAACAGACCATTGCCGGGTGTGTGCCCAGGGACAGGGACCACAGGGCAAGCCCAGAAGGTAGAGTGCCAGGTCCAAGGCTGAGGAGACTGGGTCAGAGGAGGGAACATTTATGCAGAAATAAGATGCCTTAAATGGGTTCAAATTCGAAATGTCCAAAAGAAAGAACGACCTTCTCTCACCAATTGGAAACTCCTCTCGTAGTTCCCGTCTCAGCGACAGACACCGCCACCCACGTAACTGTGCACACCAGACAGCTCTTTCTCTCTGCTCTCATACCCACTCCACCTCCAAATGATGTTGTTTCAGTATTCCTAATATTTCTTAAATCTCCACCTTCTCCATGTCCATTAAGGAGACCACAGGGCCACTGAGGTGGAAATAACCGAGGTTAGTAATAACGAGAGGGACAGGAAGAAAA